TCAACAAAATTGCATGGGTTAAATTTTTGTGTTCCCTCCTGTTAATTTTGTGTTCCCAGTACGTTCCCTCCTGTATACCTCGCCTCAAATTAAGACCATACTAACTAAGGGACGCCTTATTCAGACAGTGGAAGATTTATTTATTATTTTTTTTAGGCTTTGCCAGCAGTACTTCCATTAGTACTGTAGAGAGAGATTGCGCAATAGAGAGAGAGATTTGAGTAGGCTCTGAGCTGTGTGCGGATACAGAGGCCTGGTAGAGAGTATTGAGAACCCTGAGCTGTGTGTGGATACAGGGAGATTAATATATTGGACTTTTATTTATTTGATTTTATATATTTATTGGACACCTCACGAGCTGTATTTGAATTTACACGCTTGCACTGTCATCTGTTGCTGATTCAATATTGCCCAGATCATCATCAACTGTATTTTCATTATTTTTGATAAATTCATTTTCATTTAATATTTTTCATCGTACTTTCTTTTAGTGTGTTGACATTTTTTTTTTGATTTCGACTTGAAGATAGTCCGAGATATCAAACATTTAGATTGACACCATTGTAGACAATGATTGTGATAACATGGGTACACTACAATTATTCAAATTAGTAATCACATTATATGTAATTGCAAAAAATATTTGTAGATAGTTTCCTAGAAGTAATAAAGTTTTAGTAATTAAAGGATACTGATTGTCTCTGGACGTGAATCTATGATAATTGTCAACATTCAACAAGAATGTATTTTGAATATTTTGTAAGTGCATTTCTCATGTTCATCTGCAACTTACTTCTTTTTACGAACTACTGCTCTTGATGTTGTAGTTACTCCAAGACTTGTATCTACTGAGTCTAAATAGAATGCAAGGTCGAACTTAAAAGAGTTAATTTTTGTATTATTTAAAACAAGAAGATAACATATGAAGACTAAATGGCCAAGCTGCTAAATAGAGTTGGTCAAAAAACCCCTTCAAGCTTGGTTCTATTTCTTTTAGCAATCAATCTTTTCACTTACCTCTTCTTCTTCCCCTTCCCCTTCCCCTTCCCCTTGTGCATCTGTGGTTTTATCTCCTAGGTTCTCTTTTTAAAAGATTTTCTACAAAATTCATTTAACAAATGTTATATAAAACAACACGTTACTTTCACTAAGTTGTTGTTCTCAGCTATACATGCAGCCCAAATTGGTTTGATGATTTCAATGGTCAAAATTATTCCAATTTTGATGGTAGAAAATAGAAATTAATTATGGCACTCACTATTAAAAAATAAGCGTAACCCCTTTACTACATGTGTAACCCCCTTTATGACAGTGTCAAAATACTTTGGGCTGTGTGTATATTCTCAGCTTCTTTCCATTTATTACCTTTCGTTGATGAAATTTAGCAGATTTAGTGGTTATACATTCTGTGCAATGTTTAATTTCAGGCAATTTTTCTTCAAGTAAAATGTATTATGAAAGTTGTGGGATTCAAAGGGATTCAAAAGATATGATAACAACAAAGTGTAAAGCTTCAAGTTTGTGTAATTATTTACACATGATTTATTGCAAGAATGGGCTACATGATACCCTTGCAAAAGTATTTTAAACTGTATAAAAAATTGAAATCAATTGTGAAAATCCATTCCTTATATAGGACAGTCTCTTCACTCACTAATAAATTAAAGTTATTGTATGCGGAGCATGGAATAATGGAAAAATCAGAATGGCATTCTTTGATTGGCTTGTGGCACTTCAGTGCCACAAGCCAATTATTTAATTCATTCATTGATTTTTTAGTTAATTTTATTAACGTGATTATTGACATGTGATGCATGCAATAACTGGTTTATTGTATGTTGGAGTAAACGCTTATTCAGAGCTTAAAATGCACATTCTTTTTTATCATTATTAAATAATTTTTCAAATCCTAAATTTTATTGTTCCATTCATAAAAATGCCAAAAGCAACACGAGTAAGTAAATAAATATTTGTTGTGTTGTCAAATTGTAAAACTAAAATTCTTGTCTGTTGTACCATAGAAACAAATATCACCCAACTTTGACATGTCATTTCTTCCAACCGATCAACAAATAAAAGACATTCAAGAAGCCAGTATACCATTAACTACGAAAAAAATACTGAATTCTGGGTTAAGATTTTAACTAACTATAGAGAAAAACATCATAATGGAATTTCAATTGAATCGGTTAATGACAAAAAAATATTAGAAAAACAATTATGCGAATTTGTTGTTGGTGTGCGAAGAGATGATGGCGAAGAATATTTGTCATTAAAAAATTGTATGGCTGCAATTGATAGACATTTGAAAAGTCACAGTGTAATTAAAGATCAAATTACCTTAAATGGAAACGCGTGCAAGCAAAATTATCCAGACTTATATAAAACTTTAAATGGAAAGCTACGTGATCTTAAGAAACAGGGTAAGATTTCTACAAAGAAGGCTGACACACTTTCACCAGATGAAATCAAACAAATTCTGAATCACCCATCAACATCAAAAGATTAGGGGTTGGCACCGTTAAACGGTTAACCAGTTAAGATATTTTTTTTGACCGGTTAATTCTTTTTGATTAACCAGTTAAAATTAACTGGTTAAATTAACCGGTTAACCACCATTTATTAATTTTTTTTATATATTACAGTCAAACCTCGTCACAGCAGACCTCGCCACAACACATTTCTTGTTACAACAGATTTAAGTATTTCCCCCTTATTAATATTAATTAAAACGTTTGTCATAATAATAATAATGATAATACTGAAAAGGTACGTTTTGATTTCGCATATAAGGTACGGAATAGGTACGGAATTTGTAACATACTGAAAAGGTACTTTTTGATTCCGCCGCATATAAAGTACGGAATAGGTACGGCATTTGCAACACATTGAAAATGAATATCAAAAGGTAATTTTAATTCTGCATGATTGTAATTGTAAATAAAGTGCTCAAGGACATTATCATTTGGTTATCCTATGATAAATAAATCTTGCTATCAATATAGCCGCAACTCTGCTATTAAAAATATTTGCTTATCTACTTATCTACCTCTAATTATAATAATCTACTTATAACACCATTATGTCCACTAATGATAACAGTAATTCTGAGGCTGCCATCTATACAAAGATCATCACTGGAACACATATAGGAATGCGAGTATTCATTCCTCGCATCACCTTCTCTCCGACTACGGTAGACTTACCCTTCGTGCTCCAACGCCAACAATTTCCTATACGTCTTGTCCATTAACAGACCTCAAGGACAAAGCCTCTCATGTGTAGGACTATACTTGGTCAACCCTGTCTTTTCTCATGACCAACTCTATGTAGCTCTTTCTAGAGTGACGTCTTCGAATCATTACAGCTATGCAAATATAATTAAATATTAATATGGTGTGTGGTGACTTTTTAGTTTAAAAATATTTTATTTTATTTTTTTGGAGAATTAATATACATATTAAGATGAAAAATTATATTAATAACGAAGGTGTAATATATTTATAGATATGTGCGGGATAGAAAAAAAAAATTACTTTTTTTTTTAAAAAAAATAAAAACCCTTTAAACACATTATAGAAAATATATTATTAATAAATAAATAAATAAATTTTAATAAGTAAACAATATTTTAAAATAACAATTTTTGGTATTTGAAATAATGAGAAACAAATATTGATAATCTAAAAGGATTTAATGTTCCTCGTTGTACATAATGAAAATAATGATATCTACAGTATTAAATAAATAGTAATAAATAGTAATAAATATATATAGTTCAATCTTCTGCTATGGTATCAACTCTCCTTTCTGTTACAGGAGTAATTATGGATCAGATTTTTTAGCTCTTCCATTTGTTCTTTCAAAATGCCTTTTGTACCTCAATTTTCTGCTATAGTATCGACTCCCCCTTCTACTACAGGAGTAATTTTGGATTGTATTTTTTTAGCTCTTTCTTCCATTTGTTCTTTCAAAAATGCTTTTGTACCCGGATGCATCCTCAATATTCTAAGAATAATTTCCCCGTCATCATGTTGATTGTGCTTACGTTTTTCTGATTTGCGATGCTTAATTGTACCAAGATTTCGTTGATGAAGGACAGATTTACTCGCACTAAGACTTTTTTTTTTAGGATTTAATGAACTGGTAATTTTTATTTGAAGAAAATCTTGCTTGAGTGATTCTTTGTCCATCACATAATAATACTGTATTTTCATTATTTCATGATATTTTAGATTAAAAAGGACTTCTTCCTTTGAAACACCATTTCCATTAGCATGTAAATAATCCCCCAAAAACTACATGCAAACAAAAAATATTTATTTATAACTGTATATTATTAAAAAATTATTTATTTATTTATTTATTTAATCTTTACCTTTAACCATTTATAGACAACTTCTAATTCTTCGTCGTTAAGTGGTTTTAAATCTGAAGGCTTGTCAGATAATGGAGGAATTAGAATTTCCTCAAGAATGGTTTCTATTTCCTTCCAAACTCTTGTCATAACCATTTTAAACACAGCCGGATGTAATGAATGAAAGAGTGTCTTCAAATTTACATCAAAATAATCAAACAAAGGGTGTATTGCTTGTTCGATTTCTAAATCTGATTTCTTCGTCTGTACATCTGATTCACGAAAAAAATGTTTAAAAGCGCTGGCTGAAGGCCTTAATAATCTATTAATCACTTCACGTGATAAACATTGTCGCAAAAATGGAGACATCTATTTTTTTTTTAAAAAAACAATAATTATAAAATTGATAATAATACTAATAATAATTAATATTGATAGGTAAATTATTATTGTACTTGCTCTGTCAACAATAGTTCTTGCCATATCATCATGTGCTCGTTTTAGTGTTCTAAATGTTTTTCCAAAATAAAACTGCAAATCATCCTTTTCGCCTTCCATGCTAATACGCAAAAAAATACGACCTTGAGGATCCAGATCAAGCCATATATCATGAGCTAAGTAATCACTATAGTCTTGAGGATCAAGCTTAAAATAGGTTTTTCCACATTCATCATCCGAACTAACTTGATCGCTATCCCAGATTGTTAATGTAAGCCAATTTTGATCAGTTGAATCAATAGTTAAATCGAATGCCTCATCCCAACGAGGATTTAAACTTTCATAAATTACACGTGTTCGCGCTAAAATATTATTATCTTTATCACTAATTATACAATAAGGATCACTTAATCCATTATTGTCAAGTGCTGCCAAGTTTTCAGCCATAACAATTTTGATAGTATAAAAATATTTTGGTACTTCAACTGGCTCCAGAGTTGGAGGAGTTGACTCATTAAGAATTTGTGTTAAATAGTCAACACCCATTGAGTCGTATAATTTATCTAATTGTTCACGTGCGGCTTCAATATTGTTTAATTTAATACAAGACTGAAAATTGGCAACATTTTTAGAAATCATATGTATAAATTAATATATAACCAAAAAAAAAACATATATATATATATTACCGCAGGTTTAATGTCAAAAGGTGCAACTTTTTGTGTAGCTATTGCGGTTTTCACATTGACATACCAAGCAGATTGCTTTGAAGTTTCTTGTTCAGGATCCTTCATCACTGCCATCTCATTTTGATAAATTTCTTCTATTACAGAACAATACTGTTCTAATGCTTTACTAATAATCTTAAATAAGTTATGTTTTTAATCATAAATTGGTAAATATAAGTTTATTATTAATGATAAAATCAAATGAACATTTATAACAATTACCTTGGATAGATTAGTCATAAATTTTGCAGACTGATATTCATTAGGCCAGTTTAATGATTTAATAAAATCAATTGTTTGATTAAATGAAGTAAATAAATCTATTACGGAAGATGAATGATAATCTGTTGAACTGGCTGGTATAAACTGTGTGTGTGCGTGCATGCGCGCGCGCGTGTGTGTGTGTGTGTGTGTGTATGAGTGAGAGTGTGTGAGTATATGTTTAACATTTTTAAAGATAATGATTGATTAATTAATTAAGAAGGTAAAATTTATTTTTTACTTTATCCACATCAATAATGAACCCATTCAGGTGTCTTATTGTTTGTGGCATCCAGCCATTTTTTGATATAAGGTCCAAACCATGCTTCAATTCCAAAGGCAAATTTAGACCTACATAAATGAATTATTTAGCGTGTTAGTAAAATAAATTTTATTATGCAGAAATATTATGATTTAACAAATACATACCCATTACAATGATGTTCATATAATATTTTGATTGAAAGGATCTCCCTATAAAGTTCAATAATATCATCAACAGGAATACCTTCTTCTGGTGTCATCCTTACTTTTTTCATAATATCAGCACCTGCATTCTCCAGATCTAATGTTAAAAGTGGTGCTTGTTGTTCGACCACCAAGCTGAGAATTTCCAACTGACTAAGAAACGCATCAGATTTAAGCATAAATGCATTGATTAAAAAAAAACCCAGGCCAGTATATAGAATTATATTGAATATACAAACCCCATCAATGGTTCTGGATACTTTTTGGAAAGCTTATCAATTTCCGCTTGAATCCATCTAGCTAAAATAATTAATGTTTGAACTTCATTTGCAACTTCTTGACCATAAATTTCATTTCGTTTTTCTTGATATATATCAAATGCAACTTTCTTTTAATATCATACATATATAAAATTATATAAAAATAAAAATAAAAATTTTAAGTAACTT